TTGTCTTAATGGGAGCCCAAATATAAGGTGAAAAAAATATTTCTGTAAAGAAAATAGGTAACACACTTCCTTCAAAGCGGGGTGGGGGGAAGTGGGTTGTTCAAAAAAAAAACCAAAAACCAGGACGCCTATATTTTATTTCAAAGGGGTTTTAAGTCTTATATATGCATTGTTCCTGCAGTCTAGTATCTTTGTATTTTTCTATCAAAGTCAATAATTTTGAACCCATTTTTTAGTTACTCATTGCTCTTTATCCATTTTGACCAAAGCAAGATGAACCAAGTTTTCTGGAACAAAATTCTGTTTATTCGAGTGTTTCCAGAATGCTTCTTGTGCTATTTTAAATACTGTTACATTGAAAAAGAAAAGGGACCAAGAAAAAAGCCTTCAATCAAAAGTAAAGTGATAATATTGTTTCAAATGAAGTATGTTTACAAGTTTGAAATTATTCAGAATTTCTACCTTCTCGCAAAAAATTACCTTGATTTTTTTTAATGTACTTTTATTGATTTTAGAGAGGAAGTAAGAGGGAGGGAGAGATAGAAACATCAATGATGAAAGAGAATCATTGATTGGCTGCCTCCTGCATGCCCCCTATAGGGATCAAGCCCGAAACCTTGGGCATGTGCCCTTGACTAGAATCAAACCTGGGACCCTTCAGTCCGCAGGCTGCTATTCTATCCACTGAGCCAAACCAGTTAGGGCACCCTGATTTCTTTTAAAGTAATCAGGCCACTCCTCACTTTTTTCTTCTTTTCTCCCTCCTTCCTTTTCTCTCCCTTTCTTTTACTCCCTGACCAATTTTATTTTATCAAACTTGTTACAAAAAATCTGGACAACACAGAATATTATAAGGAAGCGTAAGTTATATTACCAATAAACCCCAATACCAGGAAAGAACCATTATTATCAGTTGCCGTATTTCCTTCAATAAACCCCAATACCAGGAAAGGACCATTATTCTCAGTTGCCGTATTTCCTTCAATCTTATGATTATGTTAAGACTATTTGTATTCTTTGTTTTATTTGTACCCATTTATCACTCTACTTACCTAAGAAAGCATGCCATAAATATAGATGTGGCCCACTATCTGGAATTCCCTGACCTATTCCTCATCCTCCACCCACTGAAGCTCCAAATCTCTCTATTCTTTTATCAGAGCCGGGACTTGGATGAGAGGACCTACTACCTCTTCCAGTCTGTTTCTGCCTCTGCCTTGATCAATCATAATAACAGCTTGGCTTTATTTTGGACCTTTTATCATGGCTGTAGAAGAAAATTTACAATAGTCTACTTAGATAAATTCCAGCGCCCTTGTCAGGCTGTAATTTGTTTGCATTCAGAAAAGTACCAAAATAAAGATTTTTAAACCCTCCAGCACCATAGTTCCTTCTTACACCTAAACTTTGTTAACTTTGAATTAGATGCAGACCTAATTGCCAAGATATCTTGGCAGCATGGAATCCTTTTTCTTGAACTGTCTAAAAAAGGATTTTAGTTTAGAGTTTCACAGTATGTAGGCCAGGAATTTTTTAAACCAGGGGTCAGCAGCAAACTCTTTCTGTAAAAGGCCACATAGTAAATATGTTAAGCTTTGTAGGCTATGTGGTCTCTGTCACAGCTATTCAGCTCTGCCATTGTAGTGCAAAAAAAAAAGAAAGGACAATGTGTACATGAATTGGTATGGCCGTGTTCAAATAAAACTTTAAACAATGGCAACACATAGTTTGCCATATGTTTTAAGTCATGAATCTCTAAATCATGTATGATGATATACTCGTTCATTACAGGAAGAAGTTAAGGGTTTTTACAAAAATAACAAGCTATAAAAATATTCTGAATGATACAAAATGAATTGACCATAAATGAACATATTGACAGATTTGAATACATAAAAATTAGGACCACAGAGCATACCATCCTATATAATAAAGAGCTAATATGCTAATTAGACTGAGCAGACCGTCTGGATGACCTTCTGGATGAAGCTGGGGCTTCGAGGGTTGAGGGAGCCGGGGAGCGAGGGCTGAGCCCCTTGCACGAATTTTTTGCATCGGGCCACTAGTTAATAAAAGATGAATGACAAACTAGAGAAAAAATAGTTGTAACCTATACATGACTAGCAATTGGTGTGGTTTGTATGCACCAATGAGATGAATAACAAAAGAAAAAAGGACATAAGATACAAACTCACAAGAAAAGGTGCATAATGGCTATGATAAATAGGAAAAGATGCTCATTCTTACTAATAGTAAAATCTGTATTAAAGGGAAATTTTTTGCCTAGGTTTATAAATGTGAATAATTAGTAATACTTATAATACTCAGTGTATCAAGGAACATGGGGAAATAAACTGGAGAATTATCCCACCACCTAGCAGCCAAAAACAACAAACATTATCTCACAATTTTTGTGGGTCAGGAATCCAGGCATGGCTTAGCTAGGATGGTTTGGCTCAGCATTCTCGTTAGGTTGTAGTTGAGTTGTCTGCCAGGGCTACAGTCACTGGGGCTGGACAGTGTACTATCAAGATGATGCACGTGAGTGTTGGCAGACCCCAGTTCCTTTCTCCCTGCTGGCCAGAGACATCAGGTCCTCTCCACATGGGCCTTGCCATTGGCTCCCTGAATGTCCTTACAGCATGGCAGCTAGTTTCTCCTGAGCCAGTGATCCAAGAGACAGGCAACCAAGACAGGCTCCACCGTGTATTCTATAATTTAATATTGGAAGTCATGTACCGTCACAGACTAATTCTGGTACAGCAGGGGAGGGACTACACAACAGGTGACTAGTAGGAGGCAGGGATTCTCGAGAACCACTTTGGAGGCTCACTACCATATTGCTTGTATTGGGACTAAATAATACTGAGGGCTTTATTTCTGTTCAGCTGGGTTCTGCAGTTGTCGCATGGTGTGTCCTGCATCTAGAATAGCTTTTCTTCTCAAATGTCTGGCACCTGGATGAGTTTGGCAGGAGCACCTCGGGGTTGGCTGGGCATCTTTCACTCTACCTGGCTAGCTTGGTCTTCTTTACAACATTGTGGTCTCAGGTTAGTCATACTTACGTGGCAGCTGGTTCCCCCAGAGCCAGCATCAAGGAGATCTGGTTAAGAACTGAAAAGCTTCTTATGACCTAGCCTTGAACTGTTTCCATTTTGTGATGCCAAAATGTGTCCCAGGACCAGCCCAGATCAAGGGCATGATTACCAGGAGGTGGGACTTACTGTGAAGGAACCATTTTTAGAACCTATTCCAAGAAGTTATGAGTAAGAGAGATTATGCTAGCTTGTTCTAAAGTGGTAGTAGCAAAAGGAAACAAATTGATTTGATTCTGGATATGTTTTGAAGATAAAATTGACAGAATTTGCCTTTGGACTGGATATCTAGTATGTGGGAGATATAGAGAAGTCAAAGATGAATCTTAGATTTTAGAGCTAAGCAATTTGAAGAATGGTGATGCCTTCACTCCAATGGGAAAGACATAAGGGCAACAGGTTTGGAGAGGGAAATCAGGACTGGGCATCTGTATAAGAGAATGCATATGATCTTATAGCCCTTAAGGAGAAATCTAAATATGTGATGATGTAGAAATACTACCTATGGTATTAATTTTAAGGTACAATAAATAAAGTATGATTTATATTATGGAGAAAGAAATGTATTTATTAATATGTACATTATTGTTATTCCACATAATTCTAACCAGTTCTAACCTATTTTTCTAAGGCTATATCGAGTTTAGATTTTATTCTATAGGAACAGTTTAGATTTTATTTCATAGTCAGAGGGAACTTTTTGAAGGTTTTTGATCAGCAGAGTGATATGATCATAATTATGCTTGGGAAGATGAATTTCAAAGTGTGAGGAATGAAAGAACAGTGGGAGAATAGGAACTGTAGTCAATAATATTATAATAACTATGTCTGGTGTCATGTGGGTATTGCAAAGTATATGATTTTCTAACTACTTGTAAAGTATGTGATTTTCTAACTACTATGCTGCTTATATAAAACTAATACAAAATAATATTGAATGTAAACTGTAATTGAAAAAAAAATTTTTTAAGAAAGGAAGAACAGTGGAAGAGCCAGGGAGTAAATTCTATGATAGCATACCAAGTTACATTTATATTCTTTGAATGAAGTCTATGAAAGTCAAAGACAATGTTGCTTTTTTGTTTGTTTGTTTTTGTTTGTTTTATTCATTGCTTCTAGCCTAGAACAAGCCATGTAAGAAGGCTTTGGTAAATGATAAATGAATGAATACATGCATCATCACCAGTTCAGGCTGTTTGAGAAAAGGTTAGTCTGAACTAGTATAATATCTCAATTATAAATATATTTTTCATTTGTTTTAATTATATGACAGAAGTAACAGAAAATGGGATTTAGCATTAATAGGTAGTAGGCCTATGGAGATCTGATTTTGTCAGTACACTAAAGCATATCAAATATCATCCTATTTTCTTTTATGCTATATGTGACTTAGAGTTTACCAAAATTAGGGTTATTTTAAATTCAGCTCCTGCCTGCTTGTAGGGCTCTACTTTTAGGGCTCCATTTTCTCAATAACAAAAAATCCTTTGAATGGTAAAGAAAATTTCTGAACATAGATGGGAATTGTTCAAAAAGATTAAAACTTCCAAATAGGAATTTCAAAAGAGATTTTTCAGAGGAAAGTAGTCAGACTGTCACTGGGCTAAATATCATACTTATTCTCCAAAAGAGATAAATTTTGAGTTTTGTTTCAATAAAATGACACAAAGATAAAAGACAAATGACAGACTGGAAAAAAAAACATAAAATAATTTAATGATGACTTTTTAAGGAAGAGTTTTTGTTTCTTTGGATTTTTATTTTGGTCAAATAATTTCTATTTTTAAAAAATATATAAATATCAAATGTATTGAGTCTGCAAGTTTCAATGAAGAGGCAAAAGTTTATTACTGCTGATTTCATGATATATTTAGATATTTGCTAAAAAATACTTGTTTATTTCAGGGGCTACGCTAAGTATGAGACCGGCCCCCATTCCAATAGAAGACCCAGAATGGAGACAAACGCCTCCCCCAGTCTCTGCTACATCAGGCACCTTCAGATTACGGCGAGGGAGTCGATTTACCTGGAGAAAGGAGTGCCTCGCTGTCATGGAAAGGTACAGATCTCTTTTTCCTTTGAGCAGTTTTCCAAAGAGAGACACTTTAGATAGATTTGGACAATTTTCATTTCAAACAAGTGATTTGGGATTTAGGTTCTATCTCTAAAAGTATTTCGGAGTAGTATAAATGTTGTATTATTGAAACAATACGTTCTTACCATTGAGAATTCATAAAACTTGAGTTAACATCTATAAATATAATTTAAGAGAGTCCTCAGTAACTTAAACTTTAGAAGAAATTTTTTAAAATTTAGATTTATATATTATATTTTAGAAAATCTCTTTGCTGTTTTGTTTTCAACAAAATAATTGAATAATTATATAGGAGGCCACTGAAATTTTCGTAAAAATTTTTCAGTTATAGTTAACATACAATATCATGTTAGTTTTGGGTGACAACTTAGTGATGAGACATTTATATAACTTACAAAGTGATCCCTCTCATAATGCTAGTACTCATCTGACACCACACACAATAATTATAATATTATTGACTATTCCCTTTGCTGTATTTTATATCCATGTGACTATTTTTATAACTGCAGTTTTACTTCTTAATTTCTTCACCTTTTTCACTCATCTCCCCAACCCCCCCCCCCCCCCCCCCCCGCATCTGGCTGCCATCAGTTCTCTGAATCTTTGGGTCTGTTTCTGTTTTGTTTGTTTATTTTGTATTTTAGATTACACATATAAGTGAAATTATATGGTATTTGTCTTTCTCTGTCTACTTATTGCACTTAACACAATACCTTTTAGGTCCATCCATGTTGTCGCAAGTGGAAAGATTTCATTCTTTTTTATGGTTAGGTAATATTCCATTGTACATATGTGCCACTTCTGCTCTATCCATTCAAATATCAATGGACGCTTAGGTTGCTTCCGTATCTTGGCTATTGTAAATAATGCTACAGTGAACATAGGGCTGAGTATATCTTTTTGAATTAGTACTTTGGTTTTCTTCAGATAAATACCCAAAAGTGGAATTGCTGGGTCATATGGTAGTTCTATTTTTAATTTTTTTAGGAACCTCCACGGAGTTTTCAGTAGTGGCTGCACCAATTTACAATCCTACCAACAATGCACGAGGGTTCCCTATTCTCTTTTATGTACACTTCTCAACAGCACTAGTTTGATGATTTGTTAATGATAGCTTTTGTGACTGGTGTGAGGTGATATCTCATAGTGGTTTTAATTTACATTTACCTGAAGATCAGTGTTATTGAGCATCTTGTTATAAGTCTGTTGGCTATCTGTATCTTCTTCTAGTTAGTCTTTTCATTTTGTTAATGGTGTCCCTTCCTGTGCAAAAACTCTTTAGCTTAATGTAGTCCCATTTGTTTATTTTTTTTCTTTTGTTTCTCTTGCTCAAGGAGACATCCAAAAAATATTACTAAGAGTGATGTTAAAGAGTTTATTGCCTATGTTTCTTCTCGCTTCATGGTTTCAGGTCTTACATTTAATCTTTAATCCATTTTGAGTTTAAGAAAGTGTAAAGTTTCATTCTTTTGCATGTATTTATCAGTTTTTCCCAACACTACTTATTGAAGAGAATGTCTTTACCCTATTGTATATTGTTGCCTCCTTTGTCATAGATATAGGCATGGATTTATTTCTGGGCTCTCTATTCTGTTCCATTGATCTTTGTGTCTGTTTTTATGCCAGTACCATGCTGTTTTGATTATTATAACCTTGTAGTATAATTTGATATCAGGTAATGTGATACCTTTAATCTTGTCTTAATTTCTCAAGATTGCTTTTTGGGGTCTTTGTGGTTTCATATACATTTTTGGATTATTTGTTTTAGTTCTGTAAAAAATGCTATTGGTATTTTTTGTTGTTGTTAATCTTCACCTGGTCATATTTTTCCATTGATTTTTTTTTTTTTTTTTTTAGAGAGAGTGGAAGGGATAGAGAGAGAGACAGAGAGAGAAAAACATCGAAGTGAGAGAGAGACACACCAATTGGTTGCCTTTGCACATGCCCAACCAGGACCGGGGATTAAGCCTGAAACCGAGGTACATGCCCTTGACTGGAATTGAACCTGGGACCCTTTAGTCTGCAGGCTGACGCTCTTTCCACTGACCCAAACTGCCTAGGGTGTCATTGGTATTTTGATAGGGATTGCATTGAGTCTGTAGATTGGTTTGGTAGGATGGATATTTTAACAATATTAATTCTTCCAATCCGTCCATCTATTTGTATCTTCTTTAAGTTCTTTCTTCTGTGTCTTATACCTTTTCAAGTACAAGTCTTTTATCTCCTTGGTTAAATTTATTCCCAGGTATTTTATTCTTTTTGATGCAGTTATAAATGAGATTGTTTTCTTAATTTCTCTTTCTGGATAGTTTGTTACTGGTATACAAAAATGCAACCAATTTCTGAATGGTAATGTGTCCTGCTACTTTACGTAATTTATCAGTTTAATAGTTTTTTGATAGAATCTTTAGGGTTCTCTATATGTAGTGTCATGTAATCTGCAAATAATGACAGTTTGACTTCTTTGTTTCCAATTTGGATGTTTGTTTGGTTTTTCCCTTTTTTTTGGTCTGACTAATGTGGCTAAGAATTCCAACACTATACTATGTTGAATAAATGTGTTGAAAGTGGACATGCTTCTATTGTTCCTGATCTTAAGCAAAAATCTTTCAGCTTTACACTGTTGAGTATGATGTTAGCTGTGTATTTGTCATACATGGCCTTTGTTAGGTTGAGGTATGGTTCCTCTGTCCCCACTTTGCTAAGAGTTTTTAATCATAAATGGATTTTGGAATTTGTCAAATGCTTTTTTTTACCTATTGATATGATCATATGACTTTATCTTTCATTTTGTTTACATAGTGTTTCACGTTAATTGATTTTTGGATATAAAACTAACCTTGCATCCTGGGAATAAATCCGACTTAATCACAGTATATGATCTTTTTTTTTTTTTTTTTTACGTTTTAAATATTTTTTTTGTTTTTCAATTATAGTTGACATACAATATGCATTTTAAAGTTAGATAGTAAGGTTGCTGAATATAAGGTCAGTATACAAAAATCAAATATAATAGCAATGAAAAGAATATGATTTTTTTTATTGTTTAAAGTATTACAAATAGTAGTATATATGTCTCCTTTTTCCCCCATTGACCTCTCCTCGGCCTCCCCTATCCCCGGCACATGCCCTCTCCCTTCCCCCTCCCCATGTGTGTGTCCATTGGTTATGCTTATATGCATGCATACAAGTCCTTCGGTTGATCTCTTACCCCACCCCACCAACATTCTCCTGTCTTCCCAATGTAGTTTTACAGTCTGTTCGATGCTTCTTTGACTCTGTATCTATTTCTGTTCATCAGTTTATGATGTTCATTATATTCCACAAATGAGTGAGATCATGTGATATTTATCTTTCTTTGACGGCTTATTTCACTTAGAATAATGCTCTCCAGTTCTGTCCATGCTGCTGCAAATGGTAAGAATTCCTTCTTTTTTACAGCAGCATAGTATTCCATTGTGTAGATGTACCACAGTTTTCTAATCCGCTCATCTGCTGATGGGCATTTAGGCTGTTTCCAAATCTTAGCAATTGTAAATTGTGCTGCTATGAACATAGGGATGCATATATCCTTTCTGATTGGTGTTTCTGTTTTCTTGGGATATATATACCTAGAAGTGGTAAATGGCAGTTCCATTTTTATTTTTTTGAGGAAACGCCATACTCTTTTCCACAGTGGCTGCACCAGTCTACATTCCCACCAGCAGTGCAAGAGGGTTCCTTTTTCTCCATATCCTTGCCCGCACTTGTCGTTTGTTGATTTGTTGATGATAGCCATTCTGACAGGTATGAGATGGTACCTCATTGTTGTTTTGATTTGCATCTCCCGGATGATTAGTGACTTTGAGCATGTTTTCATATGTCTCTTGGCCTTCCTTATGTCCTCTTTCGAAAAGTATCTATTTAGGTCTGTTGCCCATTTTTTGATTGGGTTGTTTATCTTCCTTTTGTTAAGTTGTATGAGTTCCCTGTAAATGTTGGAGATTAAACCCTTATCGGAGATAACATTGGCAAATATGTTCTCCCATGCAGTGGGCTTTCTTGTTGTTTTGTTGATGGTTTCTTTTGCTGTGCAGAAGCTTTTTATTTTGATATAGTCCCATTTGTTTATTTTCTCCTTAGTTTCCATTGCCCTAGGGGTTGTGTTGGTAAAGATATTGCTACGACAAATGTCTGCTATTTTGCTGCCTATGGCTTCTTCTAAGGTTTTTATGGTTTCCCATCTTATGTTTAAGTCCTTTATCCATTTTGAGTTTATTTTTGTGTATGGTGTAATTTGGTGGTCTAGTTTCATCTTTTTGCATGTATCTGTCCAATTTTCCCAACACCATTTATTGAAGAGGCTTTCTTGACTCCATTGTATGCTCTTGCCTCCTTTGTCAAATATTAATTGAGCATAATGGCTTGTGTCGATATCTGGGTTCTCTGTTCTTTTCCACTGGTCTATATGTCTGTTCTTGTGCCAGTACCAGACAGTTTTGAGAACAGTGGCTTTGTAATATAGCTTGATATCCGGTATTGTGATCCCTCCAACATTGTTCTTCTTTCTCAGGATTGCTGCAGCTATTTGGGGTCTTTTTTTATTCCAGATGAATTTTTGGAGAATTTTTGTTCTAGGTCTTTGAAGTATGCTGTTGGTATTTGAATGGGGATTGCATTGAATTTATAGATTGCTTTGGGTAGTATGGACATTTTAATGATGTTGATCCTACTAATCCATGAACATGGTATATTCTTCCATTTGTTTATGTCTTCTTCTATCTATCTCTTTTTTCAGCGTCCTGTAATTTTCTGAGTACAGATCCTTTACCTCCTTGGTTAAATTTATTCCTAGGTATCTTAATTTTTTTGTTGCAATGATAAATGGGATTTTTTTTTAGATTCTCTTTCTGTGAGTTTATTATTGGTGTATAAAAAAAGCCATAGACTTCTGGATGTTAATTTTGTATCCTGCTACATTG